TTATTATTAACACAGGGTCTTCGTTATTAACTTCAGGATCTTCGGTAGCTCATCATCGCCACTGTGAAGACATGCAGCAGCGTACATAGCTTAAAATTGTCTGCCGTCTTGATGTTGTCATTGTAATCGTTAAGGTTATAAAAAGGTTAATATAAAATCTTTGATAAACTTATATCTTTAACTGTTAATTTTATATTGTCAAAACAAATTGGGTATTTTCAACATTTTAATTTTATTTTTGTCTTTGTTATTTTTTCATAATGATCATGCAGCAATCATTAATTAAGTGATTTGAATAACCTCTTCAACAACTGATTAAATGAGTTAATATCAGCAAATGTCATTAAAGTCTTAATTTCTTCAATAACTAAACTAAAGAAATATTTAATTTTTTATATACATTATAGCAAAAATACATTCCAGAAGTTTCCTTTAATTGATTTTTGATTGAAGTATAAATTTGTTAATAAGACTTTTTGTTAACATACATTAGTTGAATTAATACAGTTAATAATACTTTTAAGAATCACATGTTGTTTTTAAAATATTTTGAAAGAATTCTTACAGAAAATAAATTATTCTTAATGAAAAAAGTATTTTAAATTTTCAGAATTTCTATTTTTTAAGTTTGTATAACATCGTTAACAATTGATACAAGTATATCAACAACTTATTGACCTACAAATTAATTCAAATTCAATCCATTTCAAAAATATGAAAATAATTAATCAGATATAATTCGTGTGTCACAATAACCAACTTCTAGAACAATGACTTCAAGACTATTAGTGTCACCAATGGTCGAGTGGATAACATCAGCAAACACTGGTATTGTTTACTACTCACTTGGTCGCCGGTTCGCTGACCACATGGAGTTTTCCGAATTTTCTTCACGTGTCTATCATAGGGGCCAGTCTCCTATAGAAGGTTTCCCGGAATATAATTGGCAAATCGCCCAAGCGTTGCCTTGCCATATTCCATCAAACCAACCAAAATTATTGTAATCTAACCAAAACTCCTCTCCAAACTTAAAAATGCACGAGGATCCTTACTTAAAGATATATATTGTATGTGTGTTTGTATATAAACATTATATTTTCTATTCGTTTTTTTGTCATAAATTCAATGAAGGGGGACCTCCGGGATTCTTACGTGTTTAATTTTATAACAAAATTTTTATTTTCTTAAATGAAACTTGTAATTACTGTACTATTGTTTAAGACTATCAAGAAACTCCAATGTATGGAGAACTGTCTACATATAAATAATTATATCTCAAAACAGGAATTTAAGTTATTAGAAGAGAACGTGTCTCTTGATGAATGTACTTGGAATATGATTTATCTCACTTTATCACTTTCCGGACATCCAGTAGTTCTATTTACATGTTATTATTATTATAATCTATCATTAACTAAACAAAATGAATTGACCTAATTTTAAGTTTAATTGAGTCTACGTTAATTTAAAAAAATTAAATAAAGATAATGGAGTCTACTGAAAAGAAAAAAAATCACTTCTGTATATCGCAATAATTACGTTTTTAAACTGCTGTTTTGTGTATGTTTCAAGAATATTTAAGAATAATATGAAATCATTAAAAATTCTGTTAGAATTATAAATATGTTTTTTATCTTTTCTCTCTGAATTCGATCGTTTTTTGGGTCATCAAGCTGTTAATTTTCACTAGGCAATTGATAAATTTTAATGAAGTTTGTCAAGGCATGTGGAAGACTTACCACATTTCTTTCTATTTATTAATTTATGTTTTATTTTCCACTCATAAAGTTACGGATCAGTACAACTGACTGCTTTGTATGACTTGCTTCTTACAAGCAATTCTACTTATATGAATGAAACTGTAGCAGTAATGTGATAAATGAACGTGACACTGACGATCTGCCAATAGGAGATTCCTCTCCGAAAGACTTTCTGTGAAAAATTGGCATCTATTTAGGTGTTAGGCTTGTGAAGAAAACACGAAAAACTCCACGTGGCCAAAGGCCAGATGGCCGGTCCACGTTAAGAATCTACCGATCTAGGAATATCGGGAAAAATCCGAAGGTATCGGAGATCCTTGGAATTTTTCGAAGAAAAGATTAGAATGAAGAAACAAAATTTGGCATGGTAGCTTGTGTAAAGGGCCACTGAAGCTATTAAATTTTAGTGGTTAATGGTCGAGGGATGGGGGAGTAGACAAAGGTCGAGTAGAGTCGGACTTACCGTATATTTCCGCAGATAACACGATAGTTAAATCATAAAAACGGCCCCCAAAATCCCCCAAAAACCATTATAAAAAACGGACAAACCGTAATTATTTACTAGTAGAGAGTAGGGTATGACTTACTATTGCAATATCAGCAGAAATAAGAAAACCAGAAATAGTGCAACCAATGCTTAACCATAGGCATGCAAAAAGTGTGATATATCTCACCTATATACTTATTTCTATAAATAAAGGCTCGTTTCAAGCAAGAGAACAAAATAAATAATCATCAGTGGAACATTTAGAACAGATTTAGTATGTTCCTTGAATGTCCAAAGATCTGTGTGTTGAATCATCATCAGTATACCTAATATAGATTCAAGATAGAAGTCATTTTAAAGAATAAATAAATGATTTTCATTAATAAACCCTTCCTCCTTAGATAATATTTCTCCTAAATAATATCACTATAATGTACTTAAATTATTTCAAGAGATTTTTCGACGTTAATTCCTCTCTGCAAATTACTAACAGAATTCCTCTTTTAAGTGAAAAATCGTCCGTGAATGTCAAAATACTACCCCTAACTACACGAATTTAGTAGCATTAGAATTTCTTATGTGTTTAATTAAGTAATTCAAACAATAATTGAAGAATACAATTTTGATAAACTTCTTTTTTAATAAAAAGATTTGTTTTACTTTTAACGGTTTGCAGAAAAGTCAGAAGAAAACTGTAGCACATTTACATTAAAATATTAGGGTAACTTTACAAAATTCTCTCTCAACGATTTTCCACAACAGTTCCACAATAGTCCACAATAGTTCAGATGGTACAATATTAAATACTTCAAAAAAATTCTATGTTTTCTACTAATACATCTAACCATTAACACAGACAAATGCGAAAGCATGATGGTAGGAACGCGCCACTTGTCAGGAAGATTACTCTTCAAATAGGTACTCACAGAATAAAACAAACAACGGAAATTAAATATTTAGGTGTTATTCTTGACGAGAGACTTAACTTCACACTCCACATCAAATACATCACGCTAAAAGACAAAGCTAAAAGACTACCAAAGCCCTCATTAGTATAGCTAGGAACACATGGGGCCTTGGCCTTATGTGTTCCTAGGCTTATTTACAGGGGTGCAATTCAGCCAGCACTCCTCTATGCCGTAAAGGTCTGGGGCCCTGTGGAGAGCTGCAATCCTTTGAACAGATAACAGTTTTTTACAGTTATCTGTTCAAAGGATTGCAGCTCTCCACATTTGTAAGGTTTATAAGACCGCATCCACTAGTGCCCTTTTGGTAATGTCAGGATTGACTCCTATCGACTTAGAAATTAAACACATTATTTGGCAGGAAAATCTCGTCACCTTACCCTGGTAAGATTATAGCGACTCGGATGTCGACAAAATGATTAGAGTAGGTAAGATTCTCCTTGATCGATAATATCGATGATACCAGGGTAATCACCAGGTACATCGACAAAAATACCCCTCCGATCAGCTTGCCCCTGACGTTTACTTCGAAGATCCAGATGATCGTCCCATGTTTAGGATTTACACTGACAGTTTCAAGATGGGTGACGAAGTTGGTGCCGCTTTTGTACTTTACTCTGACTTAGGCCACGAGCTTCGTAACGCTTCCTTCTGTCTGGGTACACACTGCTCAATAGCACAGGCTTTTGAGCAGCACTTTAGCGATTTATATAAGCTTAATTCACATTAAGCTTAGGAAGGACAAAAGACACTACTTACACTATCGTATTTATTCTGACAGTAGGGTAGCTTTACACGGGATTGTGAAAGTATAATAGCCGATTAATTAAAACTTGTTCATTTTATACATCACATTCTCAGACACTTAGACAACAACATTAGAATAGATTTCCAATGGGTTCCGGGTCGTGCGGGGTTCTCGGCAACGATATCCCTGACCGTCTTGGCAAACAAGCTGCAAAGTCACCAGTCACTGGTACTTTCAGTTACATTCCTACCTGGACATCAACAATCACGACAAGAGGCAAATCTTCATTCTCTGGCAAGACAGCTGGGACAGTGACACCACTGGTGGGCTCACCTACACTTTCATCCCCAAGGTTGACACTACTGCGATTCTTCGCCACTTTTACCCTAGTTACACACTCACTCAGCTACGTACAGTACTTACAGGACACAGCAGCTTTAAGAAATTCTTGCACAGATTTAACCTTGGGACAGTCATAATGCGATTGTGGTATTCAGAAGAATCAAACACCACTTCACTTAGGTTTTCGCTGCAATAGGTGCAGTCACTTTTAGGGATAGTGTAATGAGAGCTGCTATTCTTGAAATGTACAACTGGCTTTGCAACCTGCACCATCATCTACTCGCATTCATATCCCTTTGCGGGGCTCTTGAGAGCACTCACCCCGGGACATGGATGACAATTAGTTTTCTCTTGCTTTGTTTCAACTGTTGGAATATAGCTGCCTTTCAACTTTGTATTTTAATTCTTAATTTTTGTCTTCTTTTTCAGTCTAAATTTGACTACTTCTAGTTGTAAGTTAGATTAGGGACTCTGTCTTTCTGACATTAAACTTGTTTGGATACTTTGAATTTTATGAAATAACTGAAGGTAAAACATTGCAAAAATTGTGAAAAAAAATGTATGTACAATAGCATAAACTTGTTTTCAATATTTTAAGATAAGTAAATGTGAACTAACATATATTATGATAATAAATTTGATAGCAAAATTATATTTTAAGTAAAGATAAAACATTTACTCGATAAATTAAGGATGAATGTTGTTAGTCTATAACAAAATAATGTCGCGTCATATATTGATTATAGTGTTGCTTTTCATGATTTATGGAAAAGGAACACAGTTAAAATGGGATTGTCCACGAAGGATTGATGTTCCAGAAAAATGTACGTGTGAATGGAGAGGACCCTTAAGGATAGAATGCAAAGATTTAATGAACGAAAGAGAATTAAAATCAATTATGAAATTTTTTTCCGATTATAATGTAAATCAAATTAAAATAGAGGACTCCGTTCTGATGTATTTACCCAAACAATTATTTGTGGATTTCAAATTACAAATTATCCAAATATTTAATACTGAAATTTTAGGTCTTGAATCAGATAATGGATCAGAAATGTTTAGTGGATTGGAAAATAGTTTAATTGCTTTTTACTTGCAAAATGTTACAGGACTTCCATCTTGGAGATGGACGGCATTTTCAACTTTAAAAGGACTTAAATGGTTTTCAATTAAGAATAGTGACTTAATTAATGTCAGGGAAGAGTTTTCTTCTGTTTCTCCTCTCTCTATACACGATATTAAAATGGAAGATAATGAAATTAAATATGTAAGTAATTATTCTTTCAAAAATCATGAAAAATTAATGTATTTAAGTATGGATAGAAATAAAATTGAATCGATTTATCGAGATGTATTGCCAAATCCTGCTATAAACTTAAAAGCTGTTTCATTCAGGTAAATATATATTTGTTTTCGATTGAATATAGTACTTAAAATTAAATATTCTTCATACTTTTCAGAGGAAACAGAATATCCGTTATTCCGGATGACTTTTTTAATAATATGCCTGCTTTAGAAAATGTCTGGTTGAATGAAAACAAAATTAAATTTTTTTCGATGAATACTTTCCACGTAATGGAACAAGGGCAACGATTTCTTGTTGATTTAAGAGGTAACTTGGAAATATAATTTGACGTTTAGAAATAATTAATGATGAATTATTCACTTATAAAGTTTACGACAGATTATTTTGTTGAGCTTAAGAGAAACTCACTCTTATCATAATTATTGGAATATATCAGAGGATATAGCTGAATAGTCTGGAGTTATATATTCCAGAGTATAGAAGGGAGAGAGAACTAGAGGGTGGTCACATTATATATCTAGCATGGGGTCGAACTTAATGAAGATTTTACTTAAGAAACTACATTTTCAAATCCGAGCTCTCTCAACACACGATTAAATGATTTTCAAGTTCAAATAGTTTTCTAGCTTTTGTTTTTATGGCATTTATCGATGAGATACTTTTTATAGCAGAGATACCAGGTTGAGAACGGTATAATAATTGTGGAAAGGGAGAATAAAAATAGGAAAGATAGAAAATGTNTATAAGAAATTTCAAATAATGTTCGAATTACTCTATAAATATTTGTGATAAATACCTTGTATATATATATACAGAAAAATATCTCACGGTATATATCATTTGAAAGAAAGAAAACTTTCGTAACGTATGAAACATTTTTAAATTTTTGAAGATATCGGGATTACAGGATGACATTCCAATAATATTACAGAAATATGCTCTCTCTTAAACTATGTTTTAATTCACCACACAAACCTGAAATTTCAATCCTAATGTTAAACCCTAAAGGACGATTGAAATCCTAAAATCGTATTATTAAATATTGGAAGGATCGGTAAAAAAATTCTTTGGTGAATTTACAAGAAACGAATCACGTATTTATAATATTTCTGTTTGTAATGGACGAATATATCTAATACAGTACATAAATAATACAAATAATATTTCTGTCATACGTAGTTAATAAATACAGTAAGCTATTTTCTCTGGAATTCATAAAAATTCTTGCAAGTTAAATGAAGAGGCTTATTGATTCTACAAAAACAATTTGGAAAATCATTTTTAGGGACATTCTGGCTTCAAATTGCAACCATTAGCTTCACAACTTCAAGTGGAAACAAAAAAATAGTTTCATTGAATTTATGTCTTACAAACTTACAATCATATAGAAGAACTTATCTTGATTATAGGATATTTAATTCTCGGTGGACTTTAGTTACTAGTGCAAAACTATCACCGATTACTTATCGTTAGGTCTATTATCTTATCATCAAACCGGAAAACTTTTATCTACCAGAAAAGAACATTTATCATATGTCTCTAATATCTAATTGATATAATGCTATTTTTAATTTTATGATGTTAGCCATTGAATTTTTCAAGTAATAATAAATTTATCGAATTATTTATACGACAAGTAAATCAATAAAATTTTTCATACCCTCTTACAAATCAAATAAACTTGTTTTCCATATTCATTCCTTCTTCATCAATTACTGTTACTTTCCTGGCTGTTATGTATACATAACATGGGAAAGTATTAGAATCCTGTATATGAAATATATGAATGTGAAGTAATTTATTTATTTATTATAATTAATAATATAAAAGTTATTTTCTAAATAAAATCTCATAACAGCCGGGAAAGTTACGCAAATCGTAGCTAGACTTTTTTGTTTATGTTTTAATTATTTTCATTACAAAATAGAATAAGAGAAACTTATTTTTATTAGCCTTTTGATTTAAATTTTTAAAACGCTTTCCTCCATTTTGGTTCTTAATTTCTATAAGGGGTGGAAAGTCTTCCTGTATGTTATTTCATGCCCTGATCTATAATGATCAGTTAGTGAGGGAGGAAACATTCTATAAAATTCTAATTTTTGTAGAATTAATCAATTGGATAAATACAAAATTTCTTGATGATCATAATGATCTTACACTAAGGAATATAGATACGTCTATCGTTATTGGAATAGCGATAAATTTATCTGAATTCCTCAGAATTACTTAAATTGAGATATCAATAAAAGTTTTGAATGCTTTTGATATATTTTTTTATGTAAAAACATTTAAGAATCGATTCTATATACGAAATTCTTAACATTAAAATCTTTGAATGTACTTTCGCGCTATTGTTGTTCCAATAAAAACATAAAAATGAATAGCTGATTCGTATCATGCAATGACATATTTTATTTAATATTATTTTTGTTATACTTTACAAACATAATATCGATGTTGTAATTATTGGAATATAGAAATTTACTTTACTCAAACAAATTTTTGGATCGAAATTGTCATTAAAATTCTATTAATAATCTAAAAGCTAAAGTCGGATTTGCACGTATGTTAGACAGATTACAGCTTAGTGCCTCGAGTTATGAAGCTAGGGTCTTAGGATCTTAGTTTTTTATACGTATTATTTGTTGGAGGGGAAGGGCCTGTTATAGCTTAGGGACACAATAAGTTTAAGACGTTTTAACCTAAAATTTCAAAAACAATCTCATAAAAACATGTTAGATTCATGTAGTTGACAATAGTTCTAAAATGAATGAAATGAATAGAGTAAAATTAAACAACCAAAAACTGAAAATAAGACCTTTAATTTTTATATTTTATTGATTTTTTAAATAAAATAAATTAAATTTCCAATAAAACCAACCGTAATCCTATAAAATATAACGTTAAAACACAAATAATTACTTAAGGCAGATTTATGTAGTTATAAAATTAGAAATAATAATATTATTATTATTATTATTGTAATTAATATTTAGAGGTAAGAGGTAATAAAATAAAATATATTATTTTGAAAATTTAAGTAAATCTTTTCTTATCGAATATACAAAAGTAATCCATCATTATAGCTCTAAAGACATTCGATTATTCAAATTGATTTCATGAAAATTCTTTCAGATAATCGAAGCTCTTCTAAAATATTGATACGAAAAGCTTATCTGACGTCTTTTAGGTAATAAAATTTCACAATAATGCGTAGCCAGCTGTTGTATACTTTAAGTACAGCAGATTTAATGTACTACATATTTATTCTATCAAAGCAATGATGTTTTACTGGTATACGACGCCATTTCTCCATTTTATATCAAGAAAAACTTTAATATTAATCTAATTTTTTATTCCTAAAGTAGCTAATTTGATAATATATTTAATATTAAAATCATTATTTTTAATTTCCCATCGTTTTAGTGTAATTAAACTAAATTTAGAAGTAATTTTTTCACTTAAATTTTCTGCATTTTATGTCTAAAAGTATTTAAATTATTATTTCTAATTTAATAATAATAATAATTTATAAATATTAATTATAACATTTGCACTATTTTTAACATTTAAGACAATATATTTAATATTAAAATCATTATTTTTAATTTCCCATCGTTTTAGTGTAATTAAACTAAATTTAGAAGTAATTTTTTCACTTAAATTTTCTGCATTTTATGTCTAAAAGTATTTAAATTATTATTTCTAATTTAATAATAATAATAATTTATAAATATTAATTATAACATTTGCACTATTTTTAACATTTAAGACTTGTTGTGTCATTAAGCTGTAACATATGACAGGCCTTCCTTTTCCAACGAATATACATTACATATAAAAATGCGAGGCCCTAAGTTATAGCCTCCTAACTCGAGGCACTAAATTGCAGTTTATTTAGCTTATGGGCTAATCCATTTATAATTAATAGCATACAAATATGATATAATGATTGATTTTAGTAGCTCAGCCTTGATTTTGTTCTAGTACAGTATAACACTTGGCACCAGCATGGTTAGCTCTTAAAGGGGTGCAATCATACTTCTAGATTTTCTATTGCTGACAGAAGTTTTATTTCTTTAAAATAATGTATATATTTTAATATTTTTATAATTACTTTCCTAATTTTTTTTTCTATTAAATTTCTAAATTTAATTTCTAATACAATTGTAATTTTCTTTATAATTGAAACTTTTTGAAGTTATCTTATATTTTCGACATCAGATGGCGCCAGATATACATTACCTATTTTAAATCTGAAATTAAGGATTTTAAAAAAGTTATTGTTTAATACGTAAATATTAAAAAATATTTTTAATATAATTGATATAAAAATATTAGAACTATTAAAATATTTTAAAAAATTATATAAATAACGAAAAAATAAATTTAACGTATTTATTCATACTGTATTTGAAATTTATATCATTAAAAATATTTTTTGTAATATAATTTTAGTGATATTTCTGATAATTACATCTATAAATTACTATATTTAATAAAAACCAGATTTAATAGAAATTTCCCAAAAATGCTCAGAAGTCAACTATTGATTTTTGTTCATTTTATAATAAAAATTTTGAACAAATTCATATTACATCATGTGAATTTTCTATTTTAAAGTTTCTTTAAACTATCAAAATCTCGTTACGAAACATTTAAATTTGTACTGAATTTTATATCAAAGTTTATACAAAAACAACGAAATGGAGTGTGACGTCATTTATGATTTCGATTTTGTTTTTAAAAATGTTATTTAATAGCAATTTTAAACTTTTAACCTTTTAAAATTTCATAGAAAACACATAAATATTTAAATATTTAATAAAGAATAAATCTTAAATATTTATTTAATTAAGAATTTATTGATATTTTCTTAGAGGCATCTGTCCCTTGAATGTATTAAATGCTGAAAGTATATTTTTTTCCTAGGGGTGTTTCTATAGATATTTCTTCTCCAAACGAAAAAATTTAAGTATTTTTTACAGTTAAAATAATACAAAAAAGAGGAGAAAAAAATGGTGTCCACGCTTCTTAAATTTCTAGCAGCGAAGAAAGGCAAACTTTCTAACTAAAAGCTGTAATCTTTTGTTAATTTGAACCTTTAACTTCTGTAATTTATGAAGAGTTGATAAGAGTTATTAGACAAAATGCTGTAGGATAGGAAAATAAAATAATGTCAAGCTCAGAAGAAACCAAGTATCTATTTTTAAATGGAATAAATTCGTCTTCAGTTATTTTGGACTATGCTTTGTGCCAAATGCCACAAGAATTGTTATTTAAAAAATCTTCTAAGTTGAATAATAACTAACGTTGTAAAAAACGGATATGACTAAAGATAAGTGAATAAACTGATTTTTTTTTTGCCAAGTTTTATATCGGAAATAACGATTTTCAGATTTCTATAAGTAGGTTATTAGCGAGTTGTGGCAATAAGAACTTACAATAGAGCTTACAAGCTTATGATCACTATTGATTGGATGTTGCCTTAGTGGTAATGCTGATGATATCCTTGGACAATAATAGTTGTTTGCAGTTCTTTGTTTCCTGAGTGAAAGACTAATACCGATGTAATTGATAGATAAGAAAAAAAATTTTTTTGATAAATTCCCTTTTCCTAAATAAAAGTTAAGTATTATTTCAAAAAAATATTTTACAAATATTTAAAAAAAAAACTGTAGATTTACACTCAGTGACACATTATACTAAAGACAGAATGGATATTTGTCTAAGGACCAAGAGAATCCTTACAGTTGGTTACTCTAAGAAGCCCGAAATAAGTTTTAATGCATTCAAAATAAAATAAAATAAAAAATTGTTTTTCAAGTATAATTTATTAAAAGATATATTTAAGTTTAGATTATGTGATGACGGCCTAAAAATTAATTTTGTTTAGGGCCCTCGAGATCCACTACCTATTAAAGTTGAAAAAACGTATAAAGACTATATAATTTAATAAAATGTAAATTAGCACAGTCTTCATGACACTAATTACAAATTAAAAATCTAAATTTAGGTTTGTGTAATTTACAAAAAAGTATATGTAAAAAAAAAACTTTAAAAACTTATTATCACTTATGTGAATAAGAATATAATTGTTTATCACTTAGAAGAATAAGTGGCCCTTTGGCAATGTTATATTATGTCACATAACCACCAGAGATATTTAGAAGCAAAGATAAGATAAGGGATCGCTGTGTAGAGACCACAGATGCGTTGTTTTATCGCCTCAGTCGGTTCCACCTGCCGAACTTATCTCTTCTCTGTCTTTCACAAATGTTAACTATAGAACACTACATCCCAGGGGCTCTTATACATATGCGATTATTATTGTTGTATACTACTAACTAAGGTATATTTCAACAACTTTACTATTATCAAAATCGACTAGAAAACGTAATTCGACTTTAAACATTTAAATATAGATTTAAAAAATACATATATGTATAGCAATATAAATTCAATTCTTCATCGATTTGAAGTTAATAACATTATATAGAAAGTGGATTTAATTCTGTAAATGGATATTCAAAAAATAATAATAATAATAAACTTTTTATAAAATTCTACAATAGACCTATTAAAAACTTTGAAAGTTTATTAAATTTTTATTTTATTTTTACTTTAAAAAAAACTTCAATTTAGTTACAATGTGATCTTATTATATGAATATAAAAAAAATAGAAATATTCTAAAAGTATATAAGGTAAAAAATTATATTTTATTATCTCTCATCATTAAGGAACGATTTTTTTTTCGTTACTTTCTTCCTGTTGTTCTTCCTTTTCTTTTTAGTTTTTATTAAAGAGAACTGAAAGTAAATAAATGCGATGAATAGAACACAGCTTGTTGGGATATAACGAATGAATGAGAGAAAATAACATCGACTACATGAAGACAGAAAAATCTAATTAGGTGAAGAAAGACGAGAAGGAAATGAATTTGAACCTGTTTGCTCTGTTATTACACGTTTAATTAATACGAAAGTAAAGAAAACTTCCGAGAAGACAGCTTATCGGTTTACATAAAGTCAGAAAACTTTTCATTTAAAGAGGATTATAATATCTTAATTTTTAAAGCGTTACGGACAGACAATTTTTACGCTATTCTAAAGCGGAGGAAACTTCGAGTTTAAGAATAATTTTAATATATTAAAACTAATTAATTTATTTTAAAATGTTGTGTCGTACAATAAATTATATATCAAAAATTAATATATAATAAATTGAATTTAAATACAATTAAATCTTATAAATATTAATTAGATTTAAAGTTAACATAATCTCTTCTAATTAAACGGTAAAGTTGAATGGCTTCGTCGTTTGTTAAAAATATTTAATATCTAAATATATTTTTTTATTATTAAAATGTAATTAATAACTTTTAAAATGTTTTAAAATTGAATTTTTTTATTAAATTTTTAATCTTTTTTTTTCTATATTTTTCGAGTTTTCGCTTCCTTATTAAAGCTAATGTCAATTTTATTTAATTATGTTTAAAAAATAAATTAAAAATAATTAATTAAGCATAACATTTATTTATTATTTCGAAAAGAAAGTAATTATAATTATAATTACGAAGAAATAATTATTTATTCTTTTTAATTAATTGTTAAAAGATATAAATTCTTTGTATGCAGATAAAAATCGTCATTAAATTAATGTTTTCATAAATTATAATGGAAAATTTTCTTTTATTTTTTTTACAGCTTAAAAAACGCTGCAGTAACTGATCTTTCTGTCAGTTGTAAAAATTCTACAAAATATTTTAATTATTTAAATTAATTTTATATAAAATTAAAATGAAAATATCTCTTATATAAACAATAATTTTATTTATTCGATTCTTAATTAACAGTTCATTAATTAATATATATATTTTTTATACCCTAAAATGATAACAAACTTTGATATTTGTTAATATATTTATGGTTAATTAGGTTTAAATTATTATAATTTACCCAAAATTATCATAAGATTTTTTAAAAAATAGTTGTTTTCAAGTCTTTATACAAGATGATTTCCAGCTTGTAAATGAGGTCTCCAATATGAAAAAAAAATTTCATATTTAAATAAATTAACTTCTTCTTTTACACTGTAAAAACTCTTATCACGTAGCCATTATCGTACATATTAGAATTATTATCCACGAATATGATGAACTGTGCCTTTCAGCTTGGCTTCTTAGTTCCGCTGGTGGGCAAGCTTCGTTTCTCTTGATGTAAGCTTCCATCCTCGTATGGCAGTTATCTTTCTCGGGTCCTATACATGCAGCATAAGCCATGGCATGTGGTATATAAGTTTGTTCGAATACACCTCTAAATAAATGAGACATTGGTCCGTGAGCGTAAACTGGTACATCTTCACCACCGTGANATATATATATATTGACGTAAAAACATAAAAATTTTATGGAATTACCTGTATTGATTCCCGTTATATTTTCTCTACCGTTAGGATGGTTCCTATTGTATCCTGGACCGTTCGAATACAGTAATGTTGTGTATGGCATACCATCGATATCGGATATTTTATCATCTGTACCTTTTATTAAATTAAATTTTTATTAAATTAATAGAGTAATTATTTATTAAAATATATTTATCTTATTAATTTCAATACTACCAAAAATTGGATTGCCTCTTTTAGGATAACCTCCAAAGGTGAAGACGTGGGAATGATCGGAAGTGACGACAATTAAAGTATCTTCCGGTTTACTCATCTGTAGAGCAGTTACAACTGCATCTTCAAAAGCTAATGTATCTATTAAAGCCCTCTTTGCATTGTTAAAATGATGAGAATGATCAATTCTTCCACCTAAAATGATCAATGTTAAGTGATTTTTTTATAATTAAACTGATTAATTATTGGTTTATTCTTAATTATATTCACCTTCAACCATAAGAAAATAACCGTGGGGATTTTTTCTTAATATTTCTAAAGCTTTTTTAGTCATATTGGCTAACGAAGGTTCGCCATTTGGACCGTTTTCTCTGTCCGACTCGTAGGAAAGATGGCCATGCTCAAAGAGGCCTAAAAATTAAAAATATTTATACATTTAAAAAGCGAATTGTTATATTCCTTTAGGGCCTATCACAGAAAAGGTTAGCATGGACGTTTGGCCTGATCCTAGCTTTTAAGGGGGCCTCAAAA